CCCCACGATGGAAATTTCAGGGCACTCAAGAAAGAAAGTGGAGAAGTGGGCAGAAACTGAAAGATGCCCTGCGCTTGGGAACTAGCACAGTTAGTACTGCTCGGCGGCGACGTCAGCACAGGGACCTGGACATTCCATGCGGTCTCCAGCCAAACAGCAGTGAGAGTCTTTATAGCATGAGAAAGAAACAATCAGATCATTGATAGGAAGCAGAAGGGACCCAGAGTAGGGAGCATAATTCTAAAGGAAATGAACAGTGCAGGAGGCAACACAGTATCGAATCTTAAACTATACTACAAAAGTGTCGTAACAAAACTATTGTGGCACTGGCACAGAAATGGAGACCTAACCCAGGGGACAGAATAGGGGACGTAGAAACAAAGCCACACAGCTACAGCTACCTGGTTCTGCCCTAAGGAGGCAAACGTTTTTGTCAGCAGAAAGACACTTAAACTAGGTCTCCAACTCTTACGCTGAGGCAAAATTACTCAATACGGATCAAAGTTTTTGGTTGGCTTTTTTGCGGGGGGCGGGTAGGTGGGTGCCAGAAATGGAATCTGGCCCTTGGGCCCGCCAGGCAGGAGCTTGTGTTGCTGAGCTATAGCCAGAGCCGCCACGATTTTGGCATACGAGTTGAAACTCTGACAATGCTGAAAGGTCACAAAGGTCACACAGGGAGACATTTGAAGTTACAGACATCTTGAGGCTTGCCGAGTAGGAATCCAATAGTACGGGAAACAGTATCAAGAATTAACAAATGAGATGACATCAAATTACAAAAAGTTTCTTCACAGCCAGGAAAGTAAGGTGAGGAGAAAGCCTATAAAATGGGGGAGAAAACTGTGCCAGCTCCTTCCCAGTGCAGGATTAATTGCTGGAATACATAAAGAACTTAAAATGCTTGCTGTCAAAAAGTGTAATGCCTGCTCAGAAAAGGAGCAAGTGCACTGAGCAGAGAATTCCCAAAAGGAGAGACGCAGAGGCCAGTCAACGCATGAGGAAACAGTCAAGCTCCGCAGCCTCTAGGAAAATGCAAGCACAAGTGGCAGGCACACGGGCTTCCTCTGGCGCGGGGCAAGGTCGCTCTGTCCAAATTGACCTTCACTGGTGTCAACACATCTGGCCAAGAGCCTGGGATCAGCTTCCCATCTGGCTGCTGGCTTCCCCACGTGGACAGCCCCACAATTAAAATGACAAATGCTGGCAAGGACTTGCGAGGAAAGGAGACTCTGCTAACGAGAATGGAACCAGTGTAGTCACGGTGCAATTCAGTGTGGAGGGTCCTCCAAAGCTAAAAATGCAGCTATCCTGTGACCCAGTGATGCCACTTCCTGGATACAGCTAAAGAACTAAAGCCAGCAGGTTATCAGGACACTTGAGCACAATGCTGACTGCAGCCCAACTCACGGCAGCCAATTTAGGGAGCCAGTGTAGGCGCCCCCTGACAGATGGGTGAGCAAAGAAAGTGTGGTATGTGCAGACAACGGAGTATTAGTCAGCTGTGAAGAAGAACGAAATATGGGCCCTGGCAGAAATGGATGGCTCTGGAGAGCATCATTGTGTTGAGTGAAACAATCCAGAGGAATACCAATTCCCCCGTTCTCCCTAAAACAGAAAAAATTTAAAAGATGACAAAAAATAATAGGAGGGAGATTATTGCTAGATCACAGGAAGGTAATATGGGTGGAGAGAACACACCAGACAGAGGGTGCAGCCAAAATATGTTATGCACTCTGACGTGCAACGTTATATCAAATTAATAGGCGCTAATAACAAAAGGAAAATGTTTTTAAGAATGAAAGAACAGATAGAAAAAGAGAAAGGAAGAAAGAAAGAAAAAAAAAGAAAGAAAGAGAAAGAGAGGTGAGTGGGATCTGGCCTATGGCCCAATGCTCGCAGCCTTGAGCCAGCCCCTGTCCAAGTGGCAGCATCCGTGGCAGTGAGTGTCCACGCAGCAGCGGCCACCGCCAAGCTCGTCCAGTCCCACAGCCCACCCCGCCCTCCCACTGAGCCCTGGAACCTCGTCCCTCAGGCCTGTCAAGCCCTGGCATCAGCTCCTCTGCCTGCTGTCGCCACGAAGTTGCTCTAAACGGGAGCACGCAGGTGCCTCCTCTCAGGTCCAGCTTCCCCGCGGGGCATCAGGGCGCCAGGCCCCACCAGGCCGAAGTCTTCATCAGAGTTCCTTCCTGTCTGCGCTCCAAGACCTCACGCTCTCTCCATGGCCCTCCATCGCTCTCCTGGCATTCTCAGGCCAGCAGCTGTCTCCTCCTCTGGGGGACAGACAAAGACGAGGTGGGGTCAGGTGTGGAAGACCTTGGACAACTTGATGATGCATTTTAGATACTTGAGCAGCAGGAGGCAGGGAGCATGGTGGATGGATCTGGAAGGGAGGAAGTGTGGAGGGCGAATGGCTCAAAGGCATCAAGGACAAGGCAGGGGTCCGTGAGGGTGCAGAGTGCGGTGGGCAATTAGATGCAGTAGTACTTAGGGAGGCCCTTGCCTCAATTAAAGAGAAGCTCAAGGAGAAGGAACTGGGTTAGAGCCCTAGGACTGCACTCGGCTCTGGGTCTCCCTGAAGTCTCTGCCCACCTCCTGCATCTGCCTCTGTCTCTGCTTCTCTCTTCAGCCCTAGACACTCAGGGCAACGGCTCCTACCTGGAAGTCCACAAGGACCAGCTCGTGCAGCTCCTCTGTGCTGCTGACAGCTGGCCCCCTGCCACGCTGACCTGGGAGCTGGGGGGCAGAGTCGTTTCTCAGTCCCCTCCCTCAGGACCCAGACCCCTAAGGCTGGAGCTGCCCAGGGTGAAGCCTGAGGACGCGGGGCGCTATACCTGCCGAGCGGAGAGCAGCCTGGGCTCCAAGCACCACACCCTGGACCTCTCAGTGCAGTGTGAGTGGACAGAGCAGCTTGTGCTGAGAGGGACGGGGTGGACACAGGGGCAGGCAGGTCCCAGAGCCCGAGGGAGCTGGAGCCCCAGGCCTACAGGATCAGGCTTCTCTGACTGGATGGATGGGCAGTGCTAATGGGGACCCGCGGGTGCCTGTCCTTCCCACTTCTTCTCGTTCCTGAGTGGATCCTCTGCCTTGAGGAAAACCCCAGACCCCTGGAGCAGCTTCTCTGTCCGCACTGCAGATCCTCCTGAAGAGCTGAGAGTGACGGTTACCCAAGCAAACAGCACAGGTAGGAGGCGACAGAGGGACCAGGGCCTCTGCTGCCCAGGCCATGCAGCTACACATGGATTCTCTGCTTCCCTCTGCAGTCCTGGAAATCCTGGGGAACGGTACCTCCCTGCCCGTCCTGGAGGGCCAGAGCCTGCGCCTGGTGTGCATCACCCACAGCAAGCCCCCAGCCACATTGAACTGGATCTTGGGGACACAGGCTCTGAATCCCTCCTGGCTGACCGCCCCTGGGGTCCTGGAGCTGCCCCGGGTGCAGCTGGAGCATGAAGGGGAAGTCACCTGCCATGCGGAGAACCCGCTGGGCTCCCGCAGTGTCTCTCTGCGCCTCTCTGTGCACTGTGAGTGGGGCGGGTACCCCTGAGACCTGGGAAGGGGACATCTGTGACCCTCCTCCCCCTCCCACAGATTCCCCCCAGCTGCTGGGCCCCACGTGCTCCTGGGAGGCCGCGGGTCTGCACTGCAGCTGCTCGTCCAGGGCCCGGCCAGCCCCGTCCCTGTGCTGGTGGCTCGGGCAGGGACTGCTGGAGGGCAACGGCAGCAACGTCTCCTTCACGGTCACCTCCAGCGCCTCCGGGCCCTGGGTCAACAGCTCCCTGAGCCTCCCAGCGGGGCTGAGTTCCAGCCTCAGGCTCAGCTGTGAGGTACAGAATGTGCATGGGGTGCACAGCACTGCTGTCCTGAGGCTTCGAGGTGAGGGCCCTGGGGTTTGGGAGTGGTGGAGGCTTAGGGAGAAGGGAGGTGACTTGAGGAGGGTTAAAGTCCAGGAACTGGTGTTTTGGGGACATGGGTGTGGCATCTCATTTTATTATGCTGGGGACCGGGCTCCATGGCTGTCCTTCTGAGGTTCCACACGGTGTGACCTGCACCAGGGACAAGAGAGTCCACAAATAGCTGCCTGCTCTGTGTTGGGAAGCCCACACTCACAGCTTCCTGAGGCCTGATAATATCTGGTAAGGCTGGTGTACAAAACACAGACATCCAGGTGTTAAACAGGACTGTAGCTTGCTCCCTATGAAATGCTAAACTTGCTGGCGAGATAGCTCAGAGGCTTAAGTGCCTGCCTGGCAAGCACAAGGTCCTGAGTTCAATCCCCGGTTTAAAAACAAACAAACAAACAAACAGACAAAAATGCTCAACTCAAACTGGGCCTCTTGGCACACATCTGTAATCCCAGCATTCAGGTGACTAACGCAAGAGGGTCATTGTGAGTTGGAAGCTGGCTTGGGTTACACAGCCAGACCCTGCCTCAAAAAAAAAAAAAAAAAAAAAAAAGCTAACCTGGGCCCACGGAATAGCTCAGTGGACTAAGCACCTGCTTAGGCAAGCACAGGGACCGGGGTTCAATCTCTGGCGCCACAGGCCATGCTGGCCCGCCCCCAGGCATGCTGAACCAGCCACTGAGACCAGGAGTGGTGGCACACATCTGTAATCCCAGTGCTGGGAAGGCTGAAAACAGGAGGATCACTAGGAGTCCGAGCTGTGGAGTGAGTCCCTGGACCAAATATACACTCTAAAAAGCTAATCTTTATTTTATAGAGAACAATATCACACAATACAAATGATACAGAACTTCAAAACAATATCATAGGATATTAACAATGGTTATTATTATTATTATTATTATTATTATTATTTGCGGAACTGGGGATTGAACTCAGACCCTTGCACTTGCCAGGCAAGTGCTTATTCTACTGAGCCATCTCCCCGGCCCAACAATGGTTATTATATTGCACCCTGTTATCTTCAGAGTAGCTGCTCAGGTTTGCAGGTACAGGCACGCAAAACTGACCGAACAACAGAAGCACTAACTGTTCCTTTCAATGCACTAATAGAAATTAATAGTACAGTTATCGTAGCTATCTTGTGTGTGTAATACACATATATTTTTCCCCCTTCTTTTCCTCTTTCCTCATCTCAGTTGTTTCTTCTTTTTGAGCAGTTTCTTTCCATTCCACAATATCCATTATACCTTCTGGATCTTATTTATTTTTTCATTTTCTCAAAGTTTATCCTTTAGAGCTGAGTAGTATTCCACTGTATTAAAGTATCACATCTAAAATGCTAATCTTAATCCCCACTTTATTTTCCTGTTTCTGTGGTCACTGTTCCAAAAGCACCCCCACACTAGCCCCTGCGCCCCCCCCAGCAATACAAAGGTGCCAGCCGGTCCACTAGAGGCAGACTCCCCCGGCCTCCCTTGTACCTTGAATATTGTCTTTCATTTCTCTTATTCCCTGCCAGTCCCTCACAGGTCTGATCAGCCCTCATCAGGGGCCAGGGCTGGGGCTGGACAGGCAGGGGGTCCGGGTCCACATTCTTTGTTAGGAGGCTGAAGGGTGGGAGAGCCGTGGGTGTGTGGGAGGGAGCAGCGGGGATCGTGGGGCTCAAGGGGACTTACCCCAGCCCTGTGGTCTGCAGAGAAGCCGCAGTTCTGGCAAGGCTTCCTGGGGGGCGTCTCAGCCGGGGCAGGCATGGCTCTGCTGCTTGCTGTCTGCGCCTTCCTTGTCCTCCCCAGGTAAGTGTGGTGCCCGGGACGGAGGGCCCTGGGGAGGGGGTGCAGGTCCTGGGTCCCAATACAGGTGGCTGGGGGATGCAACCACCCCTGGCCTCTGATCCCAGCCACCCAAGAGGGACCCCCAGACCCCAGCATCAGGTCACGGGCTTCTGCGTGTCTGCTGCCCCTCGGGGGGCCTCATAGTGTGGATGCCTAAGGTGGCAACAGCAGCCCCACCCTGAGCGCCAAGGTGGAGGTGGTGAAAGGGGCTGCCCTCTGCTTCCTCAGCACGAAGACCCACAGCAAAGTGGACGCCAGGAGGGTGGCCTCCCAGAAGGACACACCACGTGCCTTGTGTCCTGTGTGTAGGGTGAGTGAAGAGCCCTCCACCCACTGGGTTCCAGTATGCTCAGCTGCCTGGTTGGTGGCTGTGTCCAGGATGCTGGTCCTGGCCGCCACACTCGGGATGCCCGGGTGGGCTTTGGCTCTTGTGCCCCTGCTGCTCAGCCCCCGCGCAGCAGCCAGAGCCACCTGAGCGCCTTCTCCAGCCTCATCTAGGCCCCCCAAGTTCAGCAACTATCTGTGCCCTCCCATTGTGTCCCCTCATTTTCTCTGGTCTCCTGACCTTCTATCCTTATTTCTACCCTGAGAGGATCGCAGAGATCCCCCACAGCACTGCTGTCTACTGAAGACCCTGGGTGTCTCTGGGCCTGTCACTCAGAAACCACCTTGGGGGTCGCACAGAGCTCATTGCAGCTGTGGTCATCACAGGTAGAGTTTACCTCTGTGAGAAGAGGTGGACAGAGCTTGGCGTGGTGTGCATACCTGTAATCTCAGCCAGCACTCTGGGAGGCTAAGGCAGGAAGATGCTAAGTTTTGAGCCCAGCAGCCTTGACTCAAAAATTTTAGAAACTCGAGAAAGGGGCTGCAGATGTAGCTCAGTATGAAGGCTGTAAGTTCAAAACAGCACATAAAAGTCAGGCAACGGGAGAGGTCTGCAGGGAGCAGGCACCACTTTGGGGTTGTCGTCTCCCTGCAGAGTGACACAGGGCCCTCAGGCCTCTCAGCACCAGCGTGCCAAAGTGCAGAGTGCTGCCCACAGGGAAGCCACCCGGGCCTCTGTCCAGGGTTCCGACGTGGGCCCTTTACACTGATGGCGCGTGTACACGTGACTGACCTTAGCCACTTGGTCTTCAGATCCTTCCAAGTTCAAACTGACGCCATGGGGCCAAGTTGGTCATCACAAGTGACATTGTTATCATCCTAGCCAGGCTCCCCTGGCCTGCAGATCCTAGCAGACAGTGATGCTCCTGCCCAGCAGGACTCGGCCAGGGCTGCACTGAGCTGTCCTCTCCCAGGAGCTGGCACCAGGGACTGCCCTGCCCTCGGGCCAGGTGCAGCCTTCACCGCACACATGCTCTGTGTCCCAGGCTCATAGCATGGTGTCCACATCATGTATGCCTGAGCGCCGAAAGCCCAGGGCTGCCCCCGGCTGTGCAGGCTGAGCCAGGGCCCGCCGTGGTGCCGACCACTCTGTGCAGCCCTCACAGCTGCTGTTAGACAGCAACCTCACTGCCAGTGGGGCAGCGCCTGCTCGCCCTGCACGCTGCGGGCTGTGTGAGGTGCGCTGTGGGGTCTGCTCCGCTGCCCGCCGATGTGCAGGGCCAGGGCAGGGCAGCTGTGGCAGGGGGCAGCAGAGGACAGTCAGGGGTTCTGAGCAGGAATCCCAGCCTGACCTGATCACAGGGGTGGTGTGTGGGTGTTTTTGCCACATCAGTGTCTCCATCTGGAAAATGGGCTAGCAGTGTGTCCTCGGGGGCTCTGCGAGGATTTTGGGGATCAGACAGCCAGTTAGCAAGTGACCGCATTAATAACAAATGGTGATGGAGGCATATGAATGGATGTGGGCCCAGCCAATGCTTGTGGACAGACAGGAGACAACAAAGCGTCCCTTTCCAGCCTTGCTTGTGGGCCCTCCTTACTCTCCCAGTTCCCTCAGTCCCGCTTGATGCCCCGCTCTTGCCCACTGCAGGGCCAGCAGAAGGCACCCTGTGCAGACACCCCCTTAGATGGCCCAGCCTGTGACACAGAGGAGCCGCAGGAGCTCCATTACGCCTCCCTCAGCTTCCAAGAGCTGAGCCCTCGGGAGCCGCCAGACCTGAGGAACCCCAGCACCTCAGTATATGCTGTCATCTGCATGTGACAGGCCCTGCACTGCCCAGGCTTCTCCGGGAGGGAGAGGTCAGGGAGAACTTCTGGGCCAGCTGTTCTCTGTGTCACCAGGGTCCCAGCCAGCAGAGGGGACAGTCTGCTCCCCTGCCTCCCAACTCAGCTTCCACTGCAGTTCCAGCCTTCAAGCAGGCAACTTTACACCTCAGTCGGAGCACCCTGGCCAATCACCACCGGCTCTAAAGGCCCAGCTGAGGCTGTTGCTGCGCTGCCGGCTCGCAGGATTCTCATTCTGACTTCCTGCTCCCCTCGTCCTCGGGTACCCATCCACCACCCTGCTCCTCCTGGAGACCGCACTTATATAAGCATTCCGTGCTCATCTGAAATAAATGCTAAGTGTGTAAAGTGCAACTTTCTTTCAATTCTACTTTTTCTTTTTCCTTCTCTTTCTTCTGTCTCACTCCCTCCATCTTGCCGAAAGGGTTCAGGGTCACTGTGAAGCCCAGGCTGCCCTTCGCAGGCAGCATTCTTGCCACAGCTTCTGAGGGGAGGATTACAGGCATGCGCCACCATGCCCAGCTTTCAATTCTTTTTTTTTTTTTTTTTTTTTTTGCGATGATGCCTTGGTTCTAACCAGCACCTTCATTTTGCAGAACTTGCTCAGACAACTCCTTGTATTTGCTGTCCATGTCCTGTGCAGCACATGCACGGTGTGCCGCTGCAGGGCAGGCACATCCAATGTCCCTGTCCTTGCTTGCACTGAGCGTCCCTTCATGGGAACAGACAGTGAACACCAGCTCTAACAGCCAGAGGGCCTCCACGCGCCCGCATGCACATAGCTGTGCTGGCCCCTGCTCCTGGACCTGCCCACACGAACTGGGAACACCCTGTTGCCCATTTCTTAGGATGCGACGCAACTCTTCATTTTTATTTTAAAAAGAATTTAAAAAATAGATAAAACATTGGAAATCATACAGAATTTCAAAGCACAATAGGAATTCAACAATGGTTGCTGTATTATATACATTGTGGTCTTCAAAGTAGCTGCTCAGGTTACCAGATATAAGCATGCAAAATTGGTCAAAATAAGGGGTGGCCAGAGCACAGTGGCCAGGGTTCAATTCCCAGTGTGCCGTGCTGGCCCCGCCTCAGGGGTGTATCCAGACAGTGATTGAGATTGGGCGTGGCAGTACATACCTGTAATCCCAGCACTTGGGAGGCTGAAAACAGGAGAATCACTGAGTCTGATCTGTGTAGTGAGACCCTGTAGATCCTTACTAAATATATTTTTAAAAATTGGTCAAATAAAAATTTTAAGCATTAACTGCTCCCTTCAATAAGGCATCTGTTCAGGGGCCTGGGAGATGGCTCAGTGGAATAAGCACTTCCCTGGCAAGTGCAAGGGCCTGAGTTCAATCCTCGGTTCCACCAAAAAATAAAAATAAAATAAATAAATAAATAAGGCATCTCTTCACCCTAGCATGGTGGCACATGCCTGTAGTTCCAGCACTCGGGAGGCTGAGATAGGAGGATCACTGGGTGTTTGAACCAGCTTGGGCTACAAAGTGAGCTCAAGGTCAGCCGGAGCTGCACAGCGAGAGCCCATCTCAAAAAAAAAAAAAAAAAAAAAAAGCATCTTTTTTTTGTTTGTTTGTTATTTTAGGGAAGGGTCTACAGGGTGTTCAGGGTCTCACTACTAGATCAAACTCCTAGTGATCCACCTGTTTACACCTCCCAAGAGCTGGGATTACAGGCGTGCGCCACCATGCCCAGTCTCTATTTCTTTAATTAATGACTTAAAAATGGCACCTCCTGAACATCATCTTTTATTCACTTTTTCAACAAGCCACCCAGAGATTCCTTGTGTGCCTGGCCTGCTAGAGTAATCAGAACATTTACATAGAGGTATTACTTTCTCGAGGGATAAAAACCTTTGCCGCCGAGCGGGCTGGGGAGATAGCTCAGCCGCTTAAGTACCTGCCTGGCAAATGCAAGGTCCCAAGTTCCACCCCCAGTACCCAAAATACAAAAAAAGTAATCCGTGCCCACAGTTACTGTCACCAGTGCTGCAATAACTATGAATGTGAAGGAATCAGGAATTTCTTTCCCTCTTTTAAATGGTGTCCATTCAAGGAATAGCCTTTGTACTTGACCAAAATTCTTCCTTTTTCTAATATATTTGGCACAGGGTCTCACTATAAAGCTCAGAATCCTAGTGATCTTTCTGTTTTCAGCCTCCACAGTGCTGAGATTACAGGTGTGCACCACCATGCCCAGATTTGGTGGCAGCTCTGCATGCCCAAGGGGCGCAGCTGGTGCAGCTGGTTGTACTGAGGATTGAACCCCAGCCCCCGCACTTGCCTGAGCAGGTGCTTAGTCTGCTGAGCTATCTCGCTGGCCTTTAAAGGGATATATTTTCTTTCTTTCTTTCTTTCTTTCTTTCTTTCTTTCTTTCTTTCTTTCTTTCTTTCTTTTTTTGTACGTATTTAGTACAGGGTATGCAGGGTCTACAGGGTCTCACTACATAGATCTGACTTGTAGTGATTCTCCTGTTTTCAGCCTCCCAAGCACTGGAGTTACAGGAGAGCGGCACCACGCCCAGTCTCAATCGCCACCTCAGCGTGTCCGGGGGCAGGGCCAGCACCACAGGCCAGGGATTGAACCCTGGCCGCTGCGCTCTGCCTAAGCAGGCGCTTTAGTCGGCTGAGCTACTTGGCTGGCCCAAGGATATATTTTCTATCAACATTTTCTTGACCAATTAGGCAGGAAAAGGAAAAAATGGGAGCTGTCACAAAGGCAAATGCGTCACCTGTAGCAAAACGGATGCACCTTGCGACCATGTTAGTGAAATAAATCAGAGACATAACTTCAAATAGCACATGGTATCTCTTATGAGGAAACCAAAATATAAAGAGCAAAACAAGAAAAAGGTAATAGGAAGCGGAAAGGTAGATCTTTTGTAAAAGGGAAGGTCTCAAGGATGGAGGAGGGGTGGCAAGGGGCTGTGAAAAGAACTGTGATGTGTTGTGCACACATACCACACCCACACACCCACACCCACACCCCCCCCACACACACACCCCATATGCATTACGTGCTGCAAACATGGGCTAATAAAGAACTAAAACAAAACCCAAAACACAACCACATGCCCCAGGACATAAATCCCTTATGTAGCAAATTGTTCAGTATTTTGGCTTTTTTTTTTTTTTTTTTAATTTTAGGAAATGCCCCCAGATTCTACTCAAGGACAGTGTGAAACTGACTTCCAAAAACAGACATGAGAAGCAGTAGCCCACTTGGCCACTGACCTTCTGACATCACCAACTCAAAGCCCTGAGCAGAACCCGATGCCATGTGACCTGTGCAGATGTCCCGTGACCCTCTGTGCCCGCACAAGGACTCAGGAAGTCCCTGCTCCCCGCCAAGTACCGTCAGCATCTCCTGTCCTCTTTCCGACAATCCTTCTGTAATACCTACTGATTAGCTTTCAGCTTTAAAAAAAAAAAATCTGATGGTTGATTTTCAACGCAATTTTCTTCTTTATTGTTGCAAAAAACTGGTGCCACAGTACTGGGTTCTCTACCCAACAGGTAGAAAGCCCGATCGCCCATACACCCGAGAACCATGGAGAGTCCAAGTCAAGACACGCTTCCCAGCAGTGCGGTTTCCCCTCCCTCTTCTGGGTCACACCCTCCCCAGGGAATCACCCAGCACCTGCCGCTCAGGGGTCTCACCTGAAGCCCCACAGTGCTCCCTTCCGGCCCTCTTAGCCCCAGCTCAGCCCAGCCCACTCCCAGGGAGACTAGGGCTCCACCTCCCGGCGCCACTTGAGCCCTGTGCCCTCCACCCCTGCACCCGTATACGGCCTCCTTTATCTGCTGTCAGCTCCAGGACCCGGCATGCATGCCTGGCTCACTGGGCGCCTTCCACCTGGTGTCTCTCATGGTGGAGCACGCTGCGGCTCAGATGCGGTGTGTGCCCTGGCCTCAGGTGTTGGGCGCTCGGCTCAGGGTGGTGGCGTCAAGAGGTGGGGCACTTAGGTCACTGTGCATGGGTCGGGATGAGGCAGCTCTTGGGGAACCCGAGTTACTTCCCTTGAGAGTGAGTTGCCGTGAATCACCTCTAGCTTCTCTTGTATGACGTGATCCTTCCTGTGCTGTGAGCTACCACACCGTGACACCACCCGCAAGGCAACCCTCACGAGGGGAGAGCCGGGGCTGGTGCCACGCCGTGAACCACAGCAGCACAGGCCGAGCCAACCTCTTCTCTTATAGCCTCCTCAGGCACCGATTACAGTGATGGAAAGAACACCAGTGCAAAACATGTTTTGTTTTTAAATAAAAGGATGGATGTGTGAAAGAATGAAAGGGTAAGGGAACAAGGGAGTAGATGGATAAAAATCAGAAGGGTGACAGATGGACAGATGGTTAAGTGGAAGATTGGAGAGCTGGGTGTATAGGGGAGTCTGCAGATGAATGAAAGGGGGACTGGATTGAAAAAGATTAGAGGGATGGATGGATGGATAGGAGAGATGGAGAGACGCATGGACGGACAGGTGGGCTGGAGGGTGGACGGACAGACAAAGATGAAATGGATATGAATCCCCGCGCTCAAGTGTGAGCGGACCGGAAAGTTGACCTTGCTGAGATGGGGCTCTCACTATGCCGCCCAGGCTGGCCCCCAACTCTGAGGTTCAAGCGGTTCTCCCAGCCCAGCCTGCCAAGGGGCCTGGACTCCAAGCACGGCCTGCCATGCCGAGAAGTTGAAATGAATGAACGAAAGACTGAATGGTCAAAAACGGATTTGTTACTAAAGCACAGTGGGACCAGGAGGGTCTTCGTGAGGGGCCCCGCTCGCCACGAGCCAGTCGTCTTCATCACGTGCCCAGGCGAGCTGCGGCGAGGAGGGGAGCTTCACATTATCTGGGGCGTCCTTGAACCAGTCAGCACTGCAGCAGGGGTGGGGACGCACACTCCTGGGACTTCTCTAGAATCTCATCTGTGATTAAACAGCAGGCCTTGACTCACACTGCTTCTTGTTTCTATTTCAAACTGTAGGTTGAGAGTTCTGGAAAACAACAGGGGTGGCTATGAGTGCTTACTCACTTCCGTCCCCGCCCTGTCATGCCGGCTGCTACCGGGTGCTGGGGACACAGCCGTGAGCAGAGGGCAGGATCTGGGAAGCGCTTCGGATCTACAGAAGCAGGGGGAGACCCTGCATGCCCAACACAGGTCCCTTCAGTTAGGCTACAGGGTGCGCAGGGAGCAGTGACAGGGTGCCGGAGCGCCTCACTAGGAGACGCCGCCAGATGAGAAGGCGAAGACAGCTGTGTACAAGGGGACAGCGCTCCAGACTGCGGGAGCACCAGAGACCAAGGCCCGCAGCCGGGGCCAGCAAGAGGGGAGAAGGCAGGGGGCACGCATGGATGGCGCACAGGGGAGGACAGGCCAGTGAGCGGCCACAGCAAAGTGCCACTGCGCTTTGTTCAGCTCCAACTGAGGGACAGGCTTGTAGTGGAGTGAGTGGCCACCGGGCACAGGCAGGCATCAGCGGTCGCAGAAGGGAGGGCACTTCAAGGTCTCAATTCGCCATGCTTGGTGAATCTCCAGCATCTTGGCTGGCCTCGGCAGCCTCCCACTGACCCCCCCTGGGCAGTGAGGTCTGTCCTCACAGAGGTGGCACCCCTGTGAACACCCAAGGGGCCTCTGCCTTGAGCTGGGCCAGAAAAAGAGACCAGAGACACAGTGTGACAGAAACAGTCATCACTTCAGCTTTTTTTTTTTTTTTTTTAAGGCAGGGTCTCACTATGTAATTAAGGCTGGTCCTGAGCTCACTGGGTAACCCAGGCTGGCCTGAACTCAAGGCGATCCTCCTGCCTCAACCTCCTGAGACAGGAGTTGCAGGTGTGGTCACCACTCGCGGCTCCACGCTGCTGCTGCTTGAGGCCAGCTGTGGCCAGCGCAGAGGCCTTCCTTCGGGCGCTGCTTTTCTGCAGCGCGCTCTGCAAGAGCTGTGTGCGCCTGCGTCATCTCACAGAGAAACCCTTGTGAGCAGTGTGATGCCAGGCACCCCCTGGGGGCCCACGTTACACAAGGAGCTGTGATTCGGCCCAAGTACAGTGACAGAGATGACAGCGCAGTGAGAGGAGAGGCTTGGGGACACGAGCACCTGCTCTGGATCCAGGCTGCACTGCCACAGCTTTGGGAACCTAAACCCCAAACTCCCACTCAGTCTGGTGGTGCTGATGGCAGTGTGGGTGGGCACAGCCCTGCTGCAGGGCAGTCCACGAACAGAGGGCAACTCTGCACAGGCTGGCGCTGAGCGATGCCCCGCTCTCGCTGTGCAGCCTCCTCTGTTGCCTCAGAGGGGACAGGGGCCCCTCCACAGCCTCCCGGGTGGCTTCCAGGATCCCAAGGGCACTGACATTCAAGGCTGCTCAGTCTTTGTACAAAGGAGAGAACTGCTCCCCTCTCCCTGCAGCCCCTCACTCACACGTGGAACCCAATGCAAGGACAACACTGAGACAGCTGCTGCTCCGCACTGCTGAGGGAATACCAAGAACAAGTCTGTCCACATCCAACACTGAGGCAATATTTAAAAGTACTTCTGATCTGTGCTTGCTCGAGTCTACGGCTGCAGATTCCTCGGCTACAAAGAGCAGATGCAGCTGCGCAGCTGACCTGTGGGCCAGGGCGCGGGGCACAGAGGCAGCGGTGTCCATGTGAGGCGGGGACAGAGGACAGAAATGGCCAAGTACCAGAGGGGACAGAAGTGCACAGAGAGAGAAGCAGATCCCCTGATGCTGCTTGCAAGGCCTTGGAGACAGTCCTGCCTTGAGCTCTTCCCACAGGCCTGTGACAAAGACCCGGGCTCCAGCTCTCCACACGGCCACGCTTAGCTGTGTGTTCCAGGCTACTTGCCCAAACCAGACAGTGCAGTCCCGGAGAGCTAGCCAGCACTGGTGGCCTTGTCTGTGGCTCAGCCCAGCCCAGCCTGAGAGGTCAGTAGCAGGTCCAGTAGTGGGTCAGGGTCAGGGGTGAAGACTTGCAAACGTGCCTCACCTGGGCTCGGCCTAGGGCACCACCTGGAGGTTGAGGGGGCCATAGGCTGACACCTGCAGATCCTGCAGCAGGGCTTCCAGGCCGTTCCTCAGCATGGCGTACGGTGGCTTCTCCTCGTACCTGAGGGCCATCACCACCTTCAGGTACTGCTGCAGGGCCTCTATGGAAAGGACAACCCAGCACGGGGGACGGTGAGAGGAATCCCCCAGTCCAGGGCCTGGGGGCTGTGGCCAGAGAGGCCTGGGCAGGGACATCTCGAGGCCCGGGTGTCACCGACTGCTCATCTGCCCGGTGCTGCTTCCTCTGCTGCTCTGCCAGAGACGCTCACAATTCATCCATGTGAAAAACACCAGGCAGAGGCCCCAGCAGAGTAGTACCGCGGCGAGGGTCAAGTTCCCGGATGCTGGCCCGAGCCACCTCCTGCTTGGCCCCTTACAATTTCAGAGGTCAGCTAACTAACATCGGGCGTCAGCAGCTTTGAGGGCCAGTGGGTATGGAGGATTGCGCAGCTGAGTTGTGACCTGAACCCATTTCAAATACCTGTACTTTGAAAATGAGCTCGTAGGGAGCCAGAGGTGCCACACTGTCCCTCTCCTGCTTCTGTCTCCAGGAAGGGTGCTGCAAAGGGCTACAGACACTGCCTCCCAGGAGGGCTCTGAAGATGGAACTGTCACTCTTTATGCTGCATATTTCAGTTGTGTATGAATGATTTTTACAAGCAACTATTACATGGGTGTTTAAACCCTAATGCAATAATAAAGTACAAAGGACTGCAGAGTTTAGGACGCCCAAAGGACAACCGCAATCTATTTCCCAGTGAGGAACGAACACCTTAGAGTGGACTGTGGCACCACACAGACAGACCTTACCTCTAATAAGTGTGCTGTTTGGGCTTTGCTACTATGCTTATGATTTTTTTTGAAGTTTTTCTTTCTTACACCGGGCACACATCACACGTGTAATCTGCCAGGACCCATTCAGGGCTTACCTGTCCCCGCCCCCTTGAAGACATACCTGAGACCCTGCTGCAGTGACCGTACAGTCTCATGAGTAGCTCTGGGGTGTCAACATACCTAAAGGGATAGAAGTATGTCATGTAGGGAAAGGAAAGCTACATGGTTCTCTTTGGGGTACTGAGGATTTGGGGCGCAAGGTGTGCACACAGGGCCCTTGCATGGACCTATGTCCCCAGTCTTTATTTTTTCTCTTGAAATAAGTGTTCGTTAGGTTGCTAAGTTGTCCAGGCTGGGTTCAAACTAGTGGCCCTCTTGCTCAGCCTCTAAGAGTGCTAGGTTACAGGCATATGCCACTATGTACCACCAGAACCTTCTAATGCGGGCTCTTCTAGAGCTACGCAGTCAGTTCTTCTTCCTGAGGCCAGTTACGTTCTACAGATTTGCTGTGAATGTGGGGGACATAGCTCAGTGACAAAGAAGTTAGCTACCATGTGCGAGGCCATGGTGGGTTTGATCCCCAGCACAATCAATCAACCAACCAATCAATGGAAGGTGTGCTGAATCAGCCGATCTGGAAAGGTTGGTCCCTGAGGAAACATCACGGGGTTCCCACCATCTCTGGCCACCAGGGCCTCAACACATGCTAAGCCTGTGCTCCACCACTGAGCTGCACCCCCAGCCCCATTACCTAGCTCTATGTGTGTTTCGACTAGGAGACACCCTACTTAATACATGCTGTGGATTCACTAACACCCATCAGCTCTCTGCAAGGGGCACGCGTATCAGGATGCCTGTGGGAACCGAACCCCCCGTCATGTTTACTCATTCATTCTATCATGTCTAAAAAACATGCAAATATTAGTGGAATGAGTGGACAAATCCAATGCCCCAGTCAAATGTCCTGGAGGAGCAAACCTCACGGACCAGGAAATGTGCATGCTGCGACACAGTCTCCCTGTGGTCCCTTCGGTTACTGCATCAACTGAACAAAAGAATGAACCAATGAGTTCCAATGCATGCCGCCCCGTCTGCCTAGAAATCACACCTCCTACCTGCCTGGGAAGTCTGGTACTCTACAGACAGGGACCAGGCAGCCCCTGCCAGCCCTTTCAGCAGCCAGGAAGATGCCTCAGTTTTCCATTCATCCATAGCTACTTTTTCATTTTGATGGGACAAATGGGTAACACAATTAGAAGGCAGCACCTTCCTGTAGCCTGTGGCAGGGCCTGTGCCTCCCTCTGCTCCCACTGTCCCCTGTGTGCTCCCAGCCTAAGCACTGCTGGATGGGGCCAGCAGGCCTACTGGGCCTGTGTCCACAAAGAGCACTGCATGTGTGCTCTGTTGCTGGGTGACAGTGGCAGTGCAGCTTGGACCCCAAGAAGGATGCATACATGCTGCACGGGGTCCAGGCCCCCACCACACTCAAGAGACATCTGCCTCACCTGAGCTGTAGTGTCCTGGGGTGCCCCTGTGGGAAAGGCTGGTCCCTAGCCACTCAACACTCGTGCTGCACAAGTGCTTCACAACTTGGCCGCACAGGCTGCTTCAACCTTCACACCTGTTCACTGGCCCTGTGCTAACTCTGAGATTCGTGGCTTCCACCTGGCCTCACTGCAAAAGGGCCTTTGTCTCCCTGCTGTGAGCAGAAAACCAGCACCACCTGTCATAACTAGAAACTGTAAAAATAAGTTTCAAGAACTCAGAGCAGTGGCCTCATATTCTAGCTCGTTCTAGGCATAGCTTCTGAACATGGCCACCTGTGTACCTGGGAGCTGAAGGCCCCTCTCCGCCTGCCTCTCCCTTTCTGCAACATCCCAGTGCCACAATGGCATGTCCCCCTATCACTGGGTAAAGCCTCACTGCCCTTCAGGAGCACATTCCCACCACCACTGCTGTTAGAGCCACCCTGGACTTCACCACACTCCCACGACCACACTGCCTGTCTCCCACCGGTTGTGAGGCCCCTGAGGGTGAGGACTTATTCTTGTGTCCCAGGGCCTACAACAGGGCCTACACAGGAAAGAGCTTGGTCTTTGCTGAGTGAAGGCAGGCTGTCCACCTGGGGAGTGGCACCGAGGCCACAGGGGCTGCCTCTGAAGCCAAATGGCTGGACTTGAGCCCAAGTTTCTTCTCAGTAGCTGTGTGGCCCGGGCGGCAGACTGAGGCTCTGTGCCTGAGTAGGACAGCAGTCACCTCAGTGTGGTCCTGACGACAGCACAGGGGAGCGTGGACGCGGTGCCAGCAGACAAGGACAGGACAAACAGCGGCCCTGAGCAGGTCATAGCCATAAGCAGGCCAGCATGACAAACACACGTTTCCTGTGAGCACCGACAGGCAGGAGAGCTGCTGCAGCAGTGGGGATGGGGCACGGCTCATGCGGAGAGAGGAATTCAGGGATGCTGCTTTTCATGCCAACCAAGCACACACCCAACAACAGCACATAGTTTTCAGGGACAGATAGATCTAAGCAAAGAGATCTGGGGGAAGTATTCAGAAATATTAAACTAGCACTGTAGCTAAAACTTAAAAAAAAAGATGGAATCAAAGAAATTGAGAGACACAATGAAATTTAGAATATACTGTAGTTTCCCTTACGTATAGCTTTGTTTTTTGTAAACAGTAAGAAAAGGGATAAGTATAGAATAAGAGGAGAGCAACTTTACTCATGTTTGTTGCAGAATATTGTTACATTGTTTTATCTTATTACTAGCTATTACTGATCCTAATCTTTTTTTTTTTTTTTTTCAGAACGAGGGATTGAACTCAGGCCCTTATACTTGCCAGGTAAGCACTTATTCTACTGAGCCATCTCCCTGGCCAAATTGTTAGGAGAGTTGCCCTTTTTTCTTTTTCTTTTTTTTTTATGGTACCAGGGATTGAACTCAGGACCCTGTGCTTACTTGCCAGGCAAGCGCTTATTCTACTGAGCTATCTCCCTGGCTCTATAAACTTTATCATAAGCACCTATGTACATACAGGAAGAAACAAAATATTATCCACCATTTTTGGCATCCACTTGGACTTTGCTGGGGTGGGGGTTACCATAGTATCCTTTGTGCAAGGTAAACCACACAGGACTATCACACTATTCAAGGACACAGGCACACTTACACAAAACTGATTTAGAAAAAAGAGTCAGAAACAGTAAAGTCAGTAGTACACAATGAGGCAGCGAAGCTGAGAAACAGCACTGAGTGAATAGAGCCAGAAAGATTCCTAGCAGAGCATCATTTGTGCAGAAGACACAGCAGTACTACTACACAGCTCAAAAGTACAAACACAGCTAAACACACATATCAGTAAAATATATATGAAGTGTGTTTGGGTGGCTTTCCATGGTTGACAGAAAGGAACTGGGAGATAAGAGAGGAGGTAAAATAAAATGGGGGTCAAGTTCAGTGGGAACAAGGGACCCTGCACGGAGAACTGGGAAGCGTGACAGTCCTGATACCATTCACTGGCGAGTTCACACTCTTCCTACTATGCGTACCTTCCTAGGGTTCCAGCTGACGACTGCTGAGACAGCCCCAATGTCTGGGACTCCATTTGGACCTCATGCTCGTAGATGCACACAGTCAATCACCTGCTTGGAAACTGCCTAGATGATTTTGGGGGGACATCATCCTCTAAGTCTGCTCTAGATCCAGACTAACCGCTGGGGACTTTTACAGTTTCCCTGTGGACAAATGCTATTTTCCTTGTTACTGGGCCAACACCACAGTTTAGCACTGCCTACTGTGTCCAGGTGTTGACTTCCCCCCCTTTTGTCCTTGGTGTTGAATTCCACACCCCAGCACGCTATTCCTCTTCGCTGTCCTCCGTACTGAACAGCAAAGTAACGCAAGGCCTGTATCTGTCCATGGCGCTGAATCTTGCCCAATGCGCTGTCCGCGGTGCTGAACACTGAAAGTACAACTAGTGAGACTTCTAAGTCTTATAAGGCAAAGGCACAGACACTGGTGGCACAGCCTGGGTGGTTGGTGATGTTGGATGCTTAGGCAAGGTCTGAGCCTAACCTGTTCAGGCTGCCTGTCCACGAATAAATCATGGTGTCCTGCACAAGAAGCACATAAATCCTGTGATAAGAGCTATGTCTATTTCTGACTCCCCTGAATTGTTTCACAACTTTGTGACATGGGTGCTAATTGGACACAATCCCAAGATAAGGTGACTGAGGATCAGAAAAGTCAAGCTAAATATACAACAGCCCATAATCATGGGACTGGATCCCAGGCCCAGGTAGCACAGCTCCAGAGCTTGCTGGAATGAGGGAAGCACACATGCCTGAGGCTGCAGGGAACACTGGCTCTGCGGGATGCCAGCTCTCTTCCTTCCTGTTTATTGTTAGGATCTCAGTTCCTCCCCACCCTAGGGATGCCAGGCACTGCTGGGTTCTGCGGCTCCCTAGACTCACTTCTGCTTCTGCTTCATGATCTCCTCGGTGTTGGGAAGGCAATTTGTCCATGGCAGGGACCCATAAAGCCACTTCAGCACACAGTAGCCAAGGGACTGGAGGTCACTGCGGCGGGAAGGCCCTGGAGAGGAACATGAAGAGGCAGCAAGCAGCTCAGTCTGGATGCTCCAATCTCTGAGGTGTGCATGCCTACTCCTTTTCTCTTGCTCCTTCCCTTCTTCCTGCTCTTCTTTTTCCCAACTGCACATCTGCACTCACTTTCCAGCCATGTGGGCTATCTTATTCATTTGTCCATTCACTCCTTAGTCTCTAACCTCACTCATTCTCTGCATGGCTGGCTCACTCAATCACCTTTATTCTCTCTCATTAGCCCACTCCCCACCTACTCATCTTCATTCACACACTCCCCCTCAGTGAGTCCTCAGAACCCCCGTGCAGGCCTCATCTCACCTGTTGAAAACCCACATAGGAACTGGGTTGGGTCTCAGCCCTGAATGGTTTAGTAAGAGCTTATAATAGTACAGAGTTAAAGATATAAAGGAGGGCCAGCAAGCTAGCTAAGCAGACTAAGCCCTGCTCAGGCAGGGACTGGGGTTGATTCCTGGCACTACATGCCACATGTCCTGCCCCCAGGCACGTTGAGCCGACCACCAAGACCCAGCATGATGGTGCACGTGCCTGTAATCCCAGAGCTGGGAAGGCTGCAAACAAGAGGATCACTACGAATCTGAGCTGCATAGTGAGAACCTGTACTAGACACATTTTTTTAAAAAGCCATAAAGGAAACAGAATACAAAGGAGCCTAGGAAGACAAGTACTGCATCCAGAGTCAGACAGAAGAATGTGAGGTTTTTATTTTTCTTCTGCCTCCCAAATCACATAATTTAGATGACTTTGGGGAAGCAGTTGACAAATGTGTACTGACTGTGCCCACCTCCCGCCATCTGATGCTTGAGGCACAGGCGTCATCCCTACCCTAGGGGAGCTCAGTCTGGTAGGAGGATAAAGACTGCTACAAGGACAGTCATGATTTTAAGGGAGCTGAGAATGAGGGGGTCACGAAATCTGCTCTGAATTCTCCACTCTGTACTCTTCCCCAGGATCAGTTCATCCTTTCCCAGGATTTAGGCAGTAAGTCCAATCCAGACACCATTCCCATGCTCCAGATATGGAAAGACAACCACCTCTTCAGCTGGATTACACTAAGGTAATTCTCATCTTCAAAGTCTACACCAGGTCTGGAATCCCAAGCTCCAGAAAGCAAGGATTCCCTGGCCAGCAGGCTGCTGTCCTTGGTGCTGAATACCACCACTGCCAGTACTCCAGTGTCCTTGTGTTCTTAGCGCTGCACTAAGCTGTAAGTGCTGAACTGTGTTCTCAGAGTTTATTTCCTTTTTTTTATTTTTTATTTTTTTTTAAGGAAGGGTCTACAAGGTGTTCAGGGTCTCACTACTAGATTGGACTCATAGTGATCTGCCTGTTTACAGCCTCCCAAGAGCTAGGATTACAGGTGCGCACCACCACGCCCAGTCTCAATTGCTGTCTCAGCACGCCCTGGGGGCGGGGTCAGCATGGCAGGCCCTGGGGATGGAATCCCTGGCCCCTGCACCTGCTTGTAGGCACTTTAACCCTTATTTCCTTTATGTATCCAAGATGCTGGCCACAGTCCCGATCCTTTACCTTCACACCTTTAAGCCTCTCCTATGCCTGCCCATCTGCTGCCTGTACTCGTAAACTCTCAAGAGTTGCCCATGAATGAGAAGTGTCTCCTGAGCCCAAGCCCCTCCTCTCTTCTTACCACATCCTTTGTGTAGGTCCATGCTAATGAACTCGAGGTCCCCCTCGTGTGGGCTCCTGCTGCCTTCTGTGTAGGCCACATGTCTACCACTTGGGCAATAGCGGAAGGAGAAGCCATAGCCTACCAGGGTCATCT